TATTCACATAAAAAGAACTCAAAAACTTAACTTGCTGTATACAGTAGTAAATAATTTATGTAAACACTTAAAAGCACCAAGTATTACAGCAAAAGCATTAAAAGCTGAATCAGAAGAGTACACTCTGAATTCATGATAATTATTGTTTCTAAGGTGAGAGAATGAGACACTACAGGGGATTAAAAAGATACATTTTTTACCTGTAATTGTTAATGTCTTTATTAAAAAGGAATTGGAAGCAAGTAGGAAAAAGCGTTAATAACTGTCAATTCTGGGTATGTTGATACATGTGCATGTTCGTATTCTTTATACTTTTGTATCTATTTGTCATTTCTCAAAAGTATGACAAAAAATAAAATACAAAAAAGCACATTATAGACCAGAGGATCAGTCATGAGGTTGCTGCAGTATTCCACAATAAGGTTGTGAGGTGTAAAATAGGTTATATTACATTGGAGACAGAGAGGAGTCAGATACACAGCTCTTAAGGAGATAGGTCTTAGTGGCTGTTTGAATGTTTAGTTGGCTCAGGCTTCCGTAACAAAATACCATAGACTGGGTGGCTTAAACAACAGACATTTCTTTCTCACAGTTCTGAAGGCCAGCAAGCCCGGGATCAAGCTGCCAACAGAGTAGGCTCCTAGTGAGGACTCTCTTACTGCTTACAGTGTGCTGTCTTCTCACTGTGTCCTCACAGTGTGTCTCTCTCTTCCCCTTCTTATAAAGACACTAATCCCATTCATGAGGGTCCCACCCTCATGACCTCATCTAACCCTAATTACCTCCTGAAAGTCTCATCTGCAAATACCGTAACCTTGGGGGCTGTGGCTGGAACACATGAATTTAGTAGGGGGACACCAACATAACAAATGTAATGATAAGAGAGGCTGTTTACCCATCTGCAGTACTTTGCTTGATATGTAATGAGTTCTGAACAATGATTGCTGAATTCTGTGAATGACATTTATACTTTTCGTGGTTGTAAGAGTCACCCATGCAATGTGAATTCAGAGGGAGGGGGATAATCATGGGAAAAGATAAAAGTGTTATCTATTACCTCAGAGAACAACATCAAGGAATTAATTTCTTGAGCAATAACCTCAACCCAATCTCAACAAGGTGAGTCACTTCAAAAGCCCTCCTCTAAATGCTAGAGAACACTTACAGGGAACTACTTGTCTTCTATTTTTAAAAGTCATTGGAAGACCATCCCAGCAGTGTTCTCCTCAGCCATTACTGCTCAGAGAGGCTTAGTCAAAAAACATCTCTTGAAGGAATACAACGATTTGCTAAGTTAAGAGAGTTTCAGGGTCCTAACCCAATTTTACAGGTATAGCTTTGCCTTGGAAACAAAGATGGCAACTGTGACCTCGGCATTCATAGAGTCACTTCTATATATGATCAAAGTTAGTGTCAGTCCCAGAATCTCTGGATTCTGTGTAGAGGAAAGATTAAGCCTATTGCAGAGGAAGGAGACATGGATAAGGAGCGTAGACAAGATTAAAAGAGATTTAATTAAAAACTAGATGTGATCTATTCCATATCCCTACCATAACCTGACTTCTGGAAGATCCTATTATGACGGAGAGGGAAAACATTTCCCTTCTCAAATCTACAACCTCAATGCAAGCACATCTACTATCCTCCTAGGAACTGAGGATGCCCAATGCTCCAGAGCTTTATGGAATACTAAGGATCTGCTCATGGAAGGGCTGGGAAGCATGAAGTAGAGGAGGAAAACCAATGCTAGAAAAATGGGCATAGTGGTTCCACGACTCCTTCCACATCTCCATAGGCTAGGGCAAACCTGATCTTACAGGATCTCTCTACCTCTCCTGAAACTGAGTGAAGGAAGCCTGGGCTACTGTGGTGCCATTAGTCACAAAAGGATCTCATACTGACCCAGGAATTGGGATTTGACAATTGAGTTTGCTTTAGTAGGTTTCTAGAAGAGGATTTAGTGCTGTATGACACCACGAGAACCCAAGATTTCTGATCTGTAATCTATCATGTAAAGTGATAAGCTACTTATATGTGTTCTTGCTCATGGATCATTTTAAATGGAAAACAATAGAACAGGCCCACATGGAGCCAGCTGTTATCTAAGAACCCTATTCTATAGATGTTGGTGGTAGTTGCATTAGTCAAAAATGTAAGAAAATCAGAGTCAGTCTCCAGACAGAACCCTCCTATCCTATTTTCCATGTCAGTCTAACAGCAACTAAGAAATCCAAAGAGCCTCCCTTTTCCCCACCCCACCCAACTCCTCACAGAGAGCTGACACCCTGCTCTGGGGAGTAGGCTCTTGCATATAGCCCCCACAAGGTCACAGGTGTCAAATCCCCTCCTCTAATGGTCAATGTCACAGGAAAAGACCAGACAGTTGGTTCCCAAGGTGTGCTTAGACAGCTTCTGTAAGTATGAACTGGAGCTTGGGAGACTAACCAAGGAATCTTCTAAAGACGAAGTCAATGATATCTCCCAGCGTATCTTGGATTACTGGAGAATAGGAAATACATAACACAGTAGATTTCCAAGAACCTAGTGACTTCAAATTTGGACTTGTTGGGCTTATGGATTCTGTAATTTATCTTATGAACAATCTTTGCACAAAGAGCAAGTGTCCAAGACAGCCAAAACTTTTATTAGTGTTCTCTTGAGGCCAAGAGCACTTTTTTCCTAACCCTCTCCTTCACGGCTCTTAACCCACTTCTCCCACCTGCTCAGTACTCCTCTCCTCCCTGAATTGGTGACAGCTCACCATTTACTACCAAATAATTACAGCTCTTTGTACATCTCTCCATTCAGCAATCCTAGGATCACCTGCCAATCCCAAAATCTCCTGAACTCCTTCTTGCAGGAATGGGTGCATTTTGCTCCAACTATTCTAAAAATTCCTACTCATGTTCTAAACCTCAGTAACAATTTTTGAAGTAGTGGCTAACAGCAAGTATGCTAGAGCCAGACTGAGTTAGTATCCTAACTCTGCTGTCTACTAGCTATATGACCTTGACCAAGTTAATGTCTATCTCTTAGTTTCTTTTGTAAAATGGAAGAAAGAATTGTGCCCACCTCAGATGACTGTTGTGAGGTTAGGGCTTAGAGCAGTGCATGTACCCAGGAAACTCCACAAAACTTTTAACCATTACTGTGATTCAGAGATTTCCCTGACTCCCCCAGGAAGAGTGAAAGTCTTCTTTCTCTGTGCTGCCATCGTATCTGGTGTTGACTTGAGTTAAGGCAATTACCTTAACAACCCTACAACAACAGTTTAGATCACTGTGTCCATTAGACTGTGAACTCCTTGAGAGCAGCATGGTCTTGTTATTGCCACTGTATCCTCACCACATGACACAAGGCCAGGCAGAAAATAGATTCAACTAGTTCTTCTATAATGCTAGTTTTGAAATACAAATAGTTCAAAGACAATTGACATATGTATTAGGGAACTGAGAATAATGTGAATTTCATGTTTTCTTGCATGTAACTCCACTTTCAAGAAAGTAGGTGAACACAGAAAACTGAACGCAGCTGAACTGAACTGAGTAAGAAAGCTCAACATGCACACATGCCTATACCTCAAACATCGATCAGCTACTTCAGTTCACCACTTGTGTTATGAGCCACACCCATTCACATCTGGTATTACAACTTTCTGTCCAATTTCATTTCATTTTATTTATTTTTTAGAGACAGGATCTCACTCTATCACCCAGGCTGGAGTGCATGGCATGATTATAGCTCACTGTAGCCTTGAACTCCTGGGATCAAGTGATCCTCCTGCCTCAGCCTCTCGAGTAGGTAGAACTACCGGTGCATGCCACCATGGCTGGCTACTTTTTAAATTTTTTGTAGAGATGGGCTCTCACTGTGTTGCATGGACTGGTCTAGAACTCCTGGGCTCATGATCCTCCTGTCTTGGCCTCCCAAAGACAGGAGGGATTACAGGTGTAAGCCACTGTGCCCAGCCCATCTTTTTCTTAAATGTGTCACTGATGAAGTTTTTGAGTGTTGTGCCCCTACCTTCATTTTTCCAATAGGTCCTGTGGTCTTTATTGCATAACTTTACATAGTGTGATGAGTTTAACAATATGTCTCCTTATAATAAAAAGAACTGTATTCAACAGACTTGTGGTTGATGGTAAATAACTCTTTTTCTTCGTGGATACCTAAGACTCCTGAAATTGTAGGAACCCCTATTCATCAGCAAAAGCTGTTAGGACCAGCAGTCTGTCCCACAATTAAAAGCAATATATATTTATTCATAGCTAACTACATGCCAGACTTGTGGTGAGCAGTAGAGACACTGTGGCTAATAAAAAGCAACATCTGCAACTCTTTTGGTCTAGTGGGAGACAAGAATTGAGACACAAGAAATTACAACAGATTGGGCTAGATGCTATTAAAGAATAAAGCAATGAATTTTCTACTGGAAGGAAAGACCTCCCTCAGAAAGTGTTCCTTTCCCAGATCTTTCCACCCGATAGTCTCTTTCCTGGCTTGCCCCCATTTCTGCCTCCTTACTCTACTTCCTGAGTCACCAGCCCATCAGCACTGAGCAGAGAGATACAAAAAGAGTTAATGTGGCACAGGTGGGAGGGAGAAAGGCCCTGAGGGAAGCAGGTAGAACAGCCACATAAAGAACCCCACAGGCACTGATTAAAGCAAAAAGAAGCTGCCAACACACAGTGCTTGAGATCTTTCCCAGTCAAGCCTTCTGCTGGTGATTTCTTCCTCATTCATTTATCCATTCAACATGTATTAAGCTTCTTAGGTAGGCTAGATCCTGGGAGAAGTCAATCTACTCGTTCTGCCTCCTCCAATGTCAGAGATGCTTCTTCCTCAGATGGCTGCTACTCTGAGTTGAGTGCCATTTTCTCCCTCTATGTCACCTCCTCTCCCTCTGGCATGCCAGGAATGAGACTCTAGTGGGACCCACTTTCGTATCGTGAAGAAGGAAAGCAAACGGAGAAGAAAAGTCCCATTTCATACTGCCATCTCTCTCTCTGTTGCTCCCCAGCCCCAACTTCAACTCTCCAGCTGGTGTTCGGCATCAAGTTCAGAACGTAAGCACCCTGCACCCCAAAAACCTAGCAAGTTTTCCCTTGCCACACCAAGCTCCCAGATTCACTCCAGATTCCATCTGCCTCCCACTACGGTTTCTCCCTTTCTTTCTACTCTCCCTCCTCTCTTCCAGGATGGTTGGTGCAGAGAATGGGCAATTGCTCAGAGCTAGGCAAACCTTATTATCACTGTACCCACCAGCTCTATACAGCTGAAGAAGCTGAGGTCCAGAGGTCTTGCCCAAGGATACACAGGCAGGGACAGGATGGCCGGAAGCCTGATTCCCCACCCTGCCCACAGCACTGGCTTTCTCCTCATAGAGACTGAGACTGACTCTATTTGGACCCTGAGGAAGAAAAGTATTCATCTCCGCTCCACCCTCTGCTGGCATCCAGTTAGAAGGCTCTCTCTGGCTATCTATACCAGCCACTGCAGCAGGCAGCCTCTTCCTCACTACCCCTTCCTCCCACTACAATACGTATAAACTTTTAGGAGCAAAGGATTCTCCTATCTAAGATAGAATTTCGACTTTAATTATCCATCCAAACCCCCACTAACCAAAAGTTATAACCCTGTGATCCTCCCAGCCCTGCACTACTCCTACACATGTGCCATGGATGGGTTTGTGCCACTGTGACACCCCCAAAATCTCTCCCCTTGTCTTTCCTATCAGGAGTCATGCCCCCCATGAGCCCTCAAGTTGTGCCCACCACAGAATGACAGAAACTCTACAACTCAATTCCACCTTCCTACACCCAACCTTCTTCATACTGACTGGCTTTCCAGGGCTAGGAAGTGCCCAGACTTGGCTGACACTGGTCTTTGGGCCCATTTATCTGCTGGCCCTGCTGGGCAATGGAGCACTGTTGGCAGTGGTGTGGATAGACTCCACACTGCACCAGCCCATGTTTCTACTCTTGGCCATGCCAGCAGCCACAGACCTGGGCTTAGCCACATCTATAGCCCCAGGGTTACTGGCTGTGCTGTGGTTTGGGCCCCGATCTGTGCCATATGCTGTGTGCCTGGTCCAGATGTTCTTTGTACATGCACTGACTGCCATGGAATCAGGTGTGCTTTTGGCCATGGCCGGTGATTGTGCTGTGGCAATAGGGTGTCCACTGCACTACCCTGTCCTGGTCACCAAAGCCCATGTGGGTTATGCAGCCTTGGCACTGGCACTGAAAGCTGTGGCTATTGTTGTACCTTTCCCACTGCTGGTGGCAAAGTTTGAGCACTTCCAAGCCAAGACCATAGGCCATACCTATTGTGCACACATGGCGGTGGTAGAACTGGTGGTGGGTAACACAAGGGTCAACAATTTATATGGTCTGGCACTTTCACTGGCCATCTCAGGTATGGATATTCTGGGTATCACTGGCTCCTATGGACTCATTGCCCATGCTGTGCTGCAGCTGCCTACCCGGGAGGCCTGTGCCAAGGCCTTTGGTACATGTAGTTCTCACATCTGTGTCATTCTGGCCTTCTACATACCTGGTCTCTTCTCCTACCTCACACACCGCTTTGGTCATCACACCGTCCCAAAGCCTGTGCACATCCTTCTCTCCAACATCTACTTGCTGCTGCCACCTGCCCTCAACCTCCTCATCTATGGGTCCTGCACCAAGCAGATCAGGAACCAACTCCTGGACACCTTCACATTCAGAAAAAGCCCGTTATAATGTCCAGTGGTAACAATGGAGCCTAAGAGTGGAGGTGAGGGGACACTCGGAGGGGAGTCTGGGGGTGTGAATTATGTTATCTTCATCCCACTGTCTGCATATGACTGTCACCATCATTTAACAGGTAATTGTTGTGGAGTCCCTACTATGTGCAACACTGGCATCTGTAAACTTTGACTTAAACATGTATTCTGCTTGGGAGGGGGCAAGAGCTAGAGGTCAGGGGGCTACACTACCATGCAGGAAAAATCAGTGAAGGATCATAATAAACAAGATCTAACTTAACTCCCCTTCCTGCTCGCCACCTCCATTATTTCAGTCTAAGTCTTCCCATGCTCCCACACAAAAGCTCCTCTATAGATCTCAAACTTGATGGATGTGCTTGGCACTGCCGCAGATGGTGGCGCTGTCCCTGGAGTCAAGTGCTTGGGTACCTGTCTGAAATCACAGCCCTCTCTACTCCTAGAGCCAGATTCTGTTTTCAGACTGCCCTCAGGAAACGAGTTATTATACAAGCTAGTCTCCCACCTTCTGATAATCTAAATAATGTGCCCTGTGGTACCAATTTGGCCACTTCAAATTCAAAGAATCCTCTTTTGGTCTCATCTGTAATTACTATTCTTCCTTACCCCAACTCTCACCAAAGCCCCCAAAATTAACAGCTAGAACTTCTTCCCCTTTGACTGCAGCTTCAGAGGTCAGGGGTCCACTGAAAGAAATGTTGATATTCCAGAAAATCACTGCAGCCACATCATCTGATTGCCTGAGGCTGCATTACTATGGTTTCTTGTCAATCTGCCCTTTTGTGCACCCTCAACAAGAAGGTACAATCCCCAAATAAAATCCCCATCGACACCCCCATTTGTCTTCGCCAACATCATTAGAAGCACGTGACGTTAGTGCAATATGATAAATGAAACATTTCGCACTTCTGTACCTGCCAGAGCAAGAACAGGAAGTATGGCGGTGTTGCCCAACAGGGGATTCATTTTCAGCTATGACACCACACTGGAAGGGACATTACATAACAAAAGGTCTTTAATACCATCATGGAGTTCAGAATAGGTATAATATAATAAGTATAATATGGCAGGGAGTCACTGTTATGAGATCAGAAAAAGCTGCAGACTGCAAAGGCAAACCCAAGCTCTCCAGGAAAACTATCATAACCACAGGTATTGGAGTTAGACATGAAAACCTGAAGCGAAGAGCAACCCAGTCCACTCAGCACAGATAGCTGGACCAAGCTGGACCACGGAACACTACACAGATAAGGAGGCTGCAGATCAGAAAAAGCAGATGATGCCATCTCCGGTACCACACTGGGTCTTACCAGGTCATCAATAACAAGGACTAAAGAGTCCAGAAGCTCTGTATGATTTTCAGAGGCATCATCACACTGCACACAACTAGATACAGAGGAAATCTACAGTCAACCTAAGTGTGGGCTCATTCATTCTCAAGATTAATTTTTTTTCATGAGGTTCTGAGTTTAAACGGCCTCCAAGCAATGATTTTGCAGATAACTGTGACACAATTCTAATCCTAATGAGTCACAAGTCTTGAAGATGTTCATATCCTTCTCTTACTCTAAATTCCCCTTTATTGCAGTGAGCTGTGATCACACCACTGCACTCCAGCCTGGTGACAGTGAGACCCTGTCTCATAAATAAATAAGTTCCCCCTTAATAAATCTATCCTAAGAAAATAATTGACATGTGAACAAGCATATATGCAGTAAGATATTTATTGATTATAAATAAATATGTGTGATAATCCTGTGTCTCACATATATACAGGTATACAATTTTTTGCCTTTCCCCTTCGATACACGAAAGGGAAATCATCTGCAGCCAACATTCATAAACAATGAATTCTGTCACCCTCCCACTACATGAAGACTCTCTTCTAAGGCACCTTCAACTCCTGGTTGTGCACAACTTTTCAAGGTAGCTGGTTCCAGAGCTGTACGTTGTCCATTGTAGCGACTTTCTTCCTTCAAGCTAAAAATCCACTCCCTTGGACATTTGTATCTTGTTCCAAATTGAGATTGCATACATACCTGCCATATGATAGTTTCAAGAGTTTTACCACACTCTCATTCCTCATGACAACCTGAGAATTAATTATAAGCCCACAATCCCTCATCCATAATTCCAAAATTAAAAAAAAACTCTGAAGAAACAATATTTTTTATAACTTTGGCCCAAAACCTGACACCTCAACCATCATGATCCTATTTATAATCTTTATTTATCTTATTTAGTGTGAATATTCATACATCTAACTTCAGAAGTGTTGATGTGTTTGATTATAGGACACTGTCCTGAATCCCACTGGGGTATTCCTTAATACAGGAGATATATATATATAGAAAATATTCCTTTTCTATAATCTGAAAACAACTGAATTCCAAAATATCTATCCCTAAAAGTTTCAAATAAGGTATGAGGGGTCTGTGTGATTATCCTTGAAGTCTGAGAGACATGAAGAGACTTGTTAAGGCTCTTTATCACTCTAAAGTCTGTGCTGTCAATACTATTCTATACTGCCCTACAGGTTCATACTGAGAACCTCATGTTCTCTGGATAAAAAGATCCATCTGTTTCTTACCCTCATGCTCTCCATTCAGATCACTCTCAGATACCCTACAGATGATCTGTCTCTCACGCCACACCAGAGGCAAATCCTATAAGCAAGACATGGCCCAAAGAGCCCAGCCCTTAGGCTCACCATCTCCATCCAGGACCCAGTTGCCATCCATTTTCCTTCAGTAACTTTTAGACTCAGTCTTTCTGAGTCAAAAGGAAAGACCGACTGACTTAGTGTTGGGGTAGATCAGTAGGGAATTTAGGGATCTTAGGGAATCATGACAATCAGGAAGCAGAAGAATGTATGGGCTTCTGACTGAGGAGTAATCAGACAGAAGTTTTCACTCCCAATTTCCCCTCTGAGCCCCTCTCCCAAAAGTCCTAAAGAGATCCTCCTCGTCATTTTTTTTTTTTTTTGTATAAATTCAAAGGGTACAAGGGCAATTTTGTTATATGCAGACTGCACGGTGGTAAAGTCACCACAGTCCACCATCCCTGCACCAATCTCATTCCTCTCCTTCTCATTCTGGAATCCCCTTGGGATCTGGATGTACACCATTCTCTATCAGTCACTCTCACTGTCTCTATACTGCTACATCTCTGTCTCCTTGCACCATTTGTCAGTTTTATCCCATATCTATGTCTCTTGTCCTTGTGTATGTCTCTCTCTTGCTCTATCTCCACCTGCCTCACTCAGAATTCTTTCCTGGAGAGAACAGAGGTGCAGCTGTACTACACCAGGTGACCTCTTTTTGTCAACCATAATCAAAATGTGCTAAAGGGGCATTAGAAGGAACAGATTTGGTTTCACTTGTCTTAACAAGAAACTTGGGGGTTCTGATTTGGCTCATCGTGGCTCCTCTTATCCTGCCCATTTCCTTTTCACAAAACCACTTAGTACTTTCCATCTGGCACTCACTCCTCCCACCACACACTAAAGTGAGCCAAAGGAATGTGCTAGTTAAAGATTCAGTCCAGCAGACTTTTACCTGAATCCTAGATCCTCTATAAACTCATCATATGCTTTGAAATAATTATTTAACCTCTCTGAGCCTATTTCTTTACTTGTAAAATGAGATAATAGTAGTAACTACTTCAAGAGGATACCAAATGGATTAACTAATACAATGAATTCAAAGTATTTGGCACAGCCCCTAGCACAAAAGAGCTCAACATTAATATTTGGTATAATTCCTCTCCTGGAAATATTTGATATTAATTCCTCTCTTGGAAAATAGGACCATACCCACTGTAAAACCTTTGCTCAAAGACCCAGCACCCATATCCATAGCTCTATCTAAGGAGACCTGCCCTCCCGAGGCCAGTTACATCCCCTTTAGGAAAACTTTCCTAACGCTCTTTCCCACCACTGCAGGACCTTTGCCTATGCCCCCACTCATACCACCTCAGCCAGCTCAGATGACAGCCAACTTTGTGGGACTGCTCTACAGAGCTATGCAGGGCTGGGCTAGGCAAGGATACCACCTACACAAAAGAGGTCTTCCTGGGCACAAAGGAGACTCTCCAGAAGGACTCAGAGAAAGGACTCCTTGAACAGATAAGGTATGGAGTAGAAAAGTAACTACAGGAAAGGCTCTCTAGAATGGTTCTTCTTCAGCAAAACACAGTTGAGATCTCTGGGCAAAGATGCAAAGGAGATAACATATAGCTAATATTCCAGCTTTTATCTAGCTACTAGGCACAAATCAGACTAGGACAGGGAGTGGAGCACGAAGAAATTTTTCCTCAAATTTACCTGCGTAATTCTGCCTTCCTGAAGATTCTCTTGTTACTAAGGCAACATTATCCCAATTATATTCTTACCCTCCACATTGTCACACTGCTGAGCACAGCAACCTCCTACACATTTTCCTGGTTTTCACTGCAATTGTAACCCACCCATTAATAATGGTTTTCAACCTAAGTTATGCATTATAATTGCCTGAAGAGCTTTTAGAAATTGTGATGCCCAGGCACACCCTAGACCAATTAAATCAGAATCTCTGGCACCAGTAATTGATCCAGGCACCAGTAATTTTTAAGCGCCCAGGCAATTCCAAAGTGCAGCCAAGGTTGGGAACCACTGCTTGGTTCTCAGTATAAGTCCTGATCTACATAGTCATGCATTGCTTAACAACAGGGTATGTTCTGAGAAATGTACCCTTACGCAATTTTATCATTGCACGAACATCATAGAGTGTGCTTACACAAACCTAGATGGTATAGCCTACTACACACCTAGGCTGTAGGCTCTAAGGTATAGCCAATTGCTCTTGGGCTACAAATCTGTACAATATGTTACTGTAGTGAATACCATAAGAAATTGTAACACAATGGTATTTGTGTATCAAAACATACCTAAACATAGAAAAAGTAAAGTAAAAACACGACAATATACTCTTATAGTGTCAGACCACTGTAAGTCACATATCATTTTCCAAAACATTGTTATGTGGCTCATGATTGTACTTCTCCCATGTCCTTTAGGACCCCAATCCAACCTCACAGAGAAGCATCTGCAGCTAAGATAGTAAATTGCTTCAGAGATGCTGCTGAAGGGAGGAGAGACCTGATCCTGTTTCCTTAAACAACTCAGACCAAGAACTACACACACACATACACATATACAAACACACCCTAACAGACACCTGCATTTTCTTTCCCTAATGCAGGAGGATGGATAAGTGACTCAAGAGTATGAATTACATGCTGCAGTGAAGCTAGGAAAGTCACTGTCCTCCCCCTATCCAAGGCACAATTATCTAGAAGGACCTCTATGATGTCATGCAATGGCTTAGAGCCCAAGACCTCAGGTCTCACCTCCCTGGGCCACCTGGGGTTCCTGCAGCAGCCACTGCCCGGCCCAATCCCTCCCATACTCCACCATGTTGGTGGGTACCCCCCACCTGCTGACATTGGATGAAGCTGATGCCACCTGGACCCTCATCAAGGATAAGGTAGGTGAAGTAAGGGGGCTAAAGAGGAAGTAACAAAGTATGACCTGCATGGGTCTGAGCAGCTTGTGAGTAGGAAGGGGTGGGAAGTCTGAAGACAATAATAACCAACATTTACTCAGTGCTTCCATATGTGCCAAGCACTGCAGTAAAGTTATTGGCATGGACTGCCCCCATTTAATGACAACTGTAAAAATAGTAAAAAGGTTCACTGAAAAGCAGTGTATAGGGAATTATGAACAAAGAGGAGACACGCTAAGTCAGGGGTGAGACAGGAGATCAGGAAGGCTTCCTGGAAAGAGTGACATTCTAGCTAGGCAAGCAGGAGTTATCCACACAAAGAGGGAGAGGAGAACCTGACAAATAAAAGGTACTTAATAAATATCTGAATTAATGAGAAGGGGGGTGGTGAGTATATAATAATTTAATAGTAATTAAATGTAGAGCATTTGTAAAAACAAGGAGAGGAAAAATAATAATTCATATTTGAGAACTCCTAATAATCTTCTAGAGCAGAGTTCAAAGAAGCAGTAGTAAAAATAAAGCCAAAGAGATATAAGGGCTAATCTTAGAACCTGGACTTCCTGCAGAACCAGCTTCCTATAGAATCTGAATTTTATCTGAAACTCTTTCACAGATATCCTCCACCTTAACTTCCACAAAATAAGAAATTTGGATTTCGAGGCAGATTTTTATATTTTAAGGAGCAGGACAATCTCAGCTGTATCTGGGTTGCAGGTATCCAAAAATCCTACCAAATCACTTTTCAGTTGCAGGTTGGATGGCAGGAAATTTCAGATCAGATAATTTAGAATCAGATTCTGACTATGTGATTTGAAGGAAGGTGAATTTATAACATTCATAGAAGTCAGCCTACCAGGCTTAAAAAAAAAAAAATCTTAAAGCAGTGCCTACCACACTCAAAGAAGATTTAATGGCATGCTGCTTCCATTCCAAATAGGGTAGCTGCTTACCACAAAGGCCAGCTTCCCAGGGAAGCAAAATCAAGAGAACTCAAGGTCTTCCCAAGTATTAGAGCAACTGGTTTCAGCAGTGTAGAAGGTTGGTCCTGGACTAGATCAAGCAGAATTAGACTGAAAATAAACAGAGTCTCCCACTATTAGAAAGCTATGCCATCTCTGAGTATCAGAAAAACTCATTATCCTATTTAAACTGAAAATTGTCAGGAAAATCGGAGTAGACATATGGAGGATAAATCACTGGCATTATGGGGCAAATTCAAGGATTAGGTCACCTTTAAGTGACTTGGTTTCCTGTGTCCAAAACCACTGACAGTTTACTGAACATATGGTAAAACATTTGGCTAAACAGAATGTGGCTCAAGAACTCCACATTCAGAATTCGATGGAACCAAGGGACATCTAGGAAAACAATATTCCACCATCACTTTCCTGGGATGCCCCTGGAAAACCTAAATTTGTGGGCCTAAGGTCCATACAATTTCTATCCAGAAGCAAAAGTTCTGTAGGAGCACATAGTAGTCTTAAATAGTGATTCTACCAAGAACACAGTCTCCCTAACAAAGAACTGCTGAGCTCCTTATTTTTCCTATTTTAGGATAACCACTGGAGCTGTCAAGGTCAGGGAGAGTTAGAATTAGGCAACTTAATGCCTGTCAGCATATAGGAAGAGCATATGGGGAATAAAGAGCCTCCAGGTAAACCGAGATTCACCCTTTTAGCAGAAACTTGGATAATAAGCACCAGGTATTTTAAATGTCACACTCCTATCAGAGGGGGCTCTTCAACAGACACTCCCATTTATCTTACTTGTGCAGGCTCCTTGACACCAAAGGAGCAGTTACGGTGAGATTCTGATGTCATGCTTGGTGCATCTGACATGGGTCATGGCGCAAGCATTGCATCCAAAAATGTCAACCCACCAGTGTTCTGCTCTCTCCCCTGGAAACCCCACTGGTCCTTCTCAGAGCCCCACCCAAAAGGAAGCGTTCCAGTGAAGCAAAGGAGAAGGAATAATGGGAAACTCTCCCATGCAGACCACAAAAGAACATCAGTTATTCCTTTGGCCAGGTGACAAGACAGTAGTCTACAAGCTACCTCAGCTTATCCAAGGTGCAGATGCAATTCCATAGTTAGCTACCTTCCTCTTATGCTAGGAGGCAGTACTTCCAAAACAGCTTTGTAGCAAAAAGTAGATCAGCCTTAAGGAGCCACTGGTGAATTCTACCAGAAGGCCAACAAAGAGGGCAATGCCATCAGTACAGGCATAGCCATGCGGAATTTGGGCCTGGAGGTAGGGAGTAGAGTACAGCACTGTAAGCACTGGGCTCAAATATACGAGATGCCCTAAGAGGAAACTCTGTGTGCCCTTGCTCCCTAGTAGAGCAGAGAACCAGAAACGTCAGCCACAAAATCCTGAATGGGTTGAAACCATACTTAAGTACAATTACTAGACAGGCTCTTATGTTTCCCAGTTAGTCATGAAAAATAAACTTTCCAGGGTTACCAACCCCAAAAAGGCCATGACAAAACAACAAAACACACACACACACACACAATTAATTAAAATCCCTGAAAGCATACTTTAACATTATAAATATGAGGCCTCAAATTCCCTATAAAAACTACCCCTTGCAGCTAGGGTAGAAGGTATATACTATGAGGTAACAGACATGGTAAAAGAATGGACATTCCGAATCTATTTCTGTGTAACCTACTATTGATTAAAGACATCACCCATGTAACCAGTCACCTAAGAAGAATCCTTGAAGATTTTTTTCTTTTTTGCTTGAGACTCTGTTGAGTGCAGTGGTGCCATCTCGGCTCATTGCAACCTCCGCCTCCCAGGTTCAAGCAATTCTCCTGCCTCAGTATCACAAGTAGCTGGGATTACAGGTGTGTGCCACCATGCCCGGCTAATTTTTCTATTTTTAGTAGAAACAGGGTTTCACCATATTAGTCAGAATGATCTCCAACTCCTGACCTCAGGTGATCCACCTGTCTTGGCCTCCCAAAGTGCTGGGATTATAGGCATGAGCCAGCGTGCACTGCTGAAGATTCTTTTTTCCATATCTCCTAAGTGACCAAGTTCTACTAATTCTATAACCTAAATATCTCTAGTATCTTCCCCCTCTATTTTAGTTCAGGACCTTATCATGCCTTGCCTGGAGTATTGCCATACTCTTAGCTCATCTATCGCCCTTATTTTATGCCTTCCTATTAAAAATTAGCTTTCTGGCCAGGCGCGGTAGCTCACACCTGTAACCTCAACACTTTGGGAGGCCGAGGCAGGTGGACTGCCTGAGCTCAGGAGTTCAAAACCAGCCTAGGCAACAGAGTGAAACCCCATCACTACTAAAAATACAAAAAATAAGCCAGGTGTGGTGGTGGGTGCCTGTAGTTCCAACTACTCAAGAGGCTGAGCCAGGACAATCACTTGAGCCCAGGAGGCAGAGGTTTCAGTGAGCCAAGATCGCACCACTGCACTCCAGCCTAGGCGACAAAGGAGACTCAATTTTAAAAAAAAAAAAAAAAAAAAAAAAAAATAGCTTTCAAAAACACCTATCTGATCCTGTTCCTCCTACCCAGAGCCCTTCAAGCAGCTTCCCACTGCCTTCAGGGCAATTCACTTGACACACACACAAGCCTTTCATAATCTAGTTCCTGTGTGCCTTTCCCTCTTCATACCATACATACAAGTATTATAAAATTATGTGTTCCTAAATGTGCCCCCCTTGGTTTATAAATTCAAGTTTTTTCACTGGCTGACTCTTATGCCTGAATTGACCATTCTCCTACCTAGATAATTCCTTCAAAACTCAAGTATCACCATCTAGAAACCTTCCTTGATCCTCTTTCTATGAAAGATAAAGGCTGTTCAATCACTTCTTGTCTCCTTCACATCTTGCTATTAATATTTTACATAGCTGTTTACATTTTTGTCTTCTCCATTAGACTAAACTATATCAGGACAAAGACAAAGTCTCATTCTTTTATGTTTTCCCATTACCTAGATAGTTTGACATGTAGACATTCAAAGTTTTGCTGCAGGAGAGCTGGGAGATAAGCAGAAAGCACAAATCTGAACACTATAGAGATGTAACTGAACAGTGAACACTGGGGGTAAATTTAAAGTAGGCAACCAGTTAACTTCTGACCCTAAGTCCCTGACCTATAAACTGGCCACCTGCAGGTCATCGAGGAGCACTTTGGGCCCAATGCAGTAGCAGTACCTTTCCTGTCAGATGCAGTCTGCTATGACCTACTGGGTGTGCTGGTAAAACATTCCCGCCCAGCCCATACCCGCCTGGCTTTGCCAGGTCGGCAGGGTCGGAGGGCACTGAAACCAGTGGGGCCACTACCAAGCCTCCTGGAGCAGGCAGGATCTGAGGGTGCCTTCGCCCACTGCACTCGGGAATACTCACCAAATGGCCAAGCAGAGATAGCCTATGAAGAGATGCGAATGTTGGATGGGCAGCCATGCAAGATCCGCCTACATATGGGTGGCCTGCGCAAGAAGGTTGCCTTCCTGTTGCTGCCACCAGGGCAGGTGAGCCTACAGCAGACTCTTTCCTGGCTCCGAAGCACCCACAGCATCTATGTCATCTACCAGGTCTTCTCTTGTTCCTGGCTGCAGCTGGGGCTGATGCCTACAGCCCATGAGCCCCAGCTCCTCCGGCTACATCGGTCATTACCTGTTGCCTTCTCCTGCCTCAAGTTTTCACTGCAGTCCAAGGGCGTGCTGGGACCACAGAAGCCTCTGACTAAAGACCCATTGCTCCATGGGGCCAACTGGGTCAGACCCAACCTCAGCATCATGCCACCTCTGGCCCCCACATCAGCACCTGCTGATACACCTGAAGCTGCTGATGTGCCCCCACCTGTCCCAGCTCCACCTACACCACCTCCCCAGGAAGGGCCAGAGGGCAAACCCACCAGATTCTCCTACAAGGGCCGAAACCCCTTCCGGAGGGGGCCCCAGATACTGTCAGGTACTGCTAGGGGGAAATGATGATGAGATGGATGGGAGGGACAAAGCGAAGGAGGGAGAAGGCATGAGAATTAAGTATGTGGGGAATCCATTACTCAGCACAGGGCTCTGGTGAAAGAGATGGAATGAGGGAGCCCGGGGAGGGTGAGATGGAATGAGAAGGCCCTGGTAAGGGGATTGGGATGGCACAGAGGACCAGAGGGAAAAGCTAGGGAGGAAAAAGACCAGCTATAAGTCAAGCTGTGACTATCCCCAACCCTGGCAGAGAACTGGCTCTTCAGCCCCCGCAGCCCTCCACCAGGAGCCCAGGGTGGGGGCCCCAGGGACCCCGACGGGCACTCCATGTCCCTGCCCCTGCTGCAGGGTCTATCCTCAGAGTTTGACAGCGACGACTGAAGCTGAAGCAAAAGATTCCGGGGGCAAAGCCCCCAAGATCTGGCATAGGGGTACTGGTCTCTAATAAACATCAGCTGCTGCTCCCCCAAACCATCCTGGGCCCATGCTGCTTATTCCTTCTGGGATCCAGAGAAGAGGGAAGAGTCCCTTCACCCTCTAAGGGCATAAGGGGTACCTTGAAACCTTGGCAGCAATGTCCTCACCAAAGAGAAAATACTCCTGACCACCTCCCCCACTATGTACAACCTTTTCTGGGGCCCCAGCCCCACAGAAAAAGAATGGGAAAGAAAAATGAGCACAGAATAGAGATTTCCCTTTTATACATATTGCAACAAGTTCTCCATAAAACATTCATCTGAAATAAATTAAAAAGTCCTTTTGCCACTGCCTCAAAACATAAAAAGGAGCCTGTGCCCTAGCCCCAGCCCGGGCCCAGGCCACCCATGGCCCTGATTGTCCATGGAAGAAAGTTAAGGATTGAGGGGCCCATAGCCTGAGATGAGAGGGCCAGATCCTTCCTCTGAAGTCTCCAACAAGAAAGGTGAGGTGACGGCATGAGCCTGGGAGATGGCAGCCAACTCCTTGAGAAATTCAGGGAAAATGACTGCACAGTAGACAGCATTCTTGACTCGAAGAGCCTCACCTTGGCGTTCAGGGGCCCCGCCCCGGGCAGGTAGAACTGGAGTTGAAGCCCCAGGGGAGCCCCCACTTAGGCCAAGTCCTGCTCCGTCTCGCCCAGGCTGAAGGACCAATTGTGCCGCCTGCCGGGCCCTGGTTGGACTGTGTGCATGCCGCAGGAGTAACTCCCCCAAGGATGGCCTCCGGCTCTTCACTGGGAATAAACAGGGGTATCATGAAGGTGCTGGGATCAAGGAACCTCCCTTGGACTGAGAGGGGAGATTCCCCCACCCCCTAGGTTCTTGGACTTCTCCTTTAGGGTTCTGAGAAAATGGAAAAAAGGACAAAATGGACCAGAAATGAACCTCAGGTACCATTTCCTGTCCCATCCCTGAAGTTGACTCTGAGGACTAGAGTGAGGAGTTCTTTCTCACTCTAACACCAAAAATACTAACTGCCCAGCCTTTTTCCCTCTATCCAGCCTCCCCACCCAGCCAACCATCCTTCTCAGTCTTTAACCGATCAACACTTTAGCCACTTCATTCCCAGTTAAGATCCATTCCTTCTCCATGCCCTCTGACCCTGATGAATTCTCCTCTTTCCAATCACTAATCTACCATCACTAAGCTATTTCTCCTCTGTCTACAGCATGCCCTGATTTCATGCTTCCCATCACTCTTCCAAACCAGTCAACCACTTACCTCTTTCCCAGCTTATCTGTAACACCCAATCCACATCCTCTGCTCCTACAATACCCACAGGGGCTATATATGCAATTATAGTTCAGTGACAATTTCACTTCTGTCATACTCTACTGTCCCTCCAAAATCTGCTCTTCACCATTCACCACTTCACCATTCACCAGTCCCTGTCCTGCATCAAAGCCTCTCTCCCACTGGTTGCAGTCAATTTCAAGTCAGCTTAGACTCAAGTGAGCCATTCAAAACAATGTCCTCTTGCCTCTAACATTCTGCCTAGATTTCAGGGTCTGGATCCATATCTACTATAAAGGCCTAGATTCTAATAACAATTCCCATTTCCTACATCTAATACTGGCTACAGAAATACTATACCGATCTATTAAATTTGGCATTCAGAGTCCTTCACAATCAGGCTCACACTCCTACAATTTCTTGTCAAACTCTCCACACCCCATCTTGCTTTTGCATCCACATCTATCACCTTGGAACCCTCCAGGCACTTTTCATGCACCTGTAGCTCCCTCTGCCTAAATTTTCTTCTCCCTAATTTTTTCATCATTCTAGGTGAAATTTTATAATCCCCACTTCTCTAGGAAGCCTCCTCTTGATTTGTCTTCCACTGAATCCCAATTTTACTTCCCTTAACTCAACATACTTAATTTATTTCTATGTCTTCTACCTCACACACTAACCTGTGAGCTTAAGGGCTTAGACTGTGTCTTGTCTACCTTGTCTACCTGGCCCCTCTACAGTGACCCCAGCACCAGAACTGTAGAAGGAAGAAATATTTACAATACTAGACCATAAAGAAATCATGCAAAAGAACTTTACCTGAGACTTCACAGCTGTGCAGTAACTTTTGTGGTACTCTCTTCCCAACCCGTACACTTTTCTCATTAAGCCTCCACCTCTGCTTTCAGCGTATCATTTTGCCTTCTACTTTGATTAGTAAATAAAGAATGATGTGAAATCCCTTTCTCCTCTATACTTCACAACTACACTGGCACCTGTCAGTTCCTTCTTGCTCTCTGCTCATTTTCCTCAAAGGGAGAAAAACAAAAAGCCTTTTCCTGTCCAAAGTTAATCCTTTTCTATTGTTCTAGATCCCATTACTCCCAACACCTTTAGGAGCTTCCTACTTCTGGTATTACATTCCTCTAGTCACTCTCCAGATTGTACATTCTTTGAAGGCAGAAATTACATCTTGTACCTCTCTGAATTCCCTGTACCAAAGACAATGCCTGGCACACATGGCAAATGTTCAAGATACTTGTTAAGCGAAAAGTCTAGATTTAAAACTTCATAACCACATTTAATTCTTCCTCCTTCCTTACACCACTCACCAAACTCTACCAACACTTCCTTCTCATTTCTGCCTCATTAAATGCTTCCCTTCCATGTCCACTATTCTAATTCAAGTCTCCCTGGTAACATCTACATATGGCAGAAGCCTCCTGATGCTTCCTGACTCTTTTCTCCTAGCTTGACTTCATCTGAGCTAACATACTAATCTCTCCACTTCCAGATTTAGAACTTCCAGTGGTTTTTCACTGCCTGAAACATCCGAACTTCTACTCTGAGAAATTGAGCTCCAGCCAAATCTCTCTAGCCTTACTACCAACTATTCCATCTTTTAAATCCCCTACTCCAACTAAACAGTCCAGGATCTCTCCTGAAAAAAAAAGATTCCCCACTCCTTTGCCTACTTAAGTCCTACCCAGCTCTCAAGGCCCATGTCAAATGTCATGTCCTTTACTAAGCTGTAATAATATCGCAACCTAGAGACTACTCTGTCCTCTTTCTTGTCCCCAAATTCTAGAGTAGTTTTTGCTAGAACTTCTCATCTGGCTCTTAATAGATAGAACTATGTTCTATCCTCTGACCAGAAGCCTGAGAACAAACATGAAGACTCAATTTTCTATAACTCACCAGGTCTTGGCACAACATTTCACTCTTAATAAGAGCTCAATTAACCTGGGTTAATAGGCTATTTAGGGAGGGCAGGTACAGGTGTGGTGGGATAGGCCTCACCTAGGGAATCAGAACGGCGCGGGGCAGGTCCTGCTGCAGGGCCCTCAGCCCAGTCCAACTTGCCACGGGCAATGAGGTACTTCTTGGCTTTGGATAGCAGTGCTGGGAAGTCCTCCTGGGAAGCCGCAAAGTTCTCAATCTTATTCTTCACAGAGCCCAGCACCTATGAAGCACACCTTCATGACATTTCTGAGCACCTCTAGACTGATACAGTCCTTTCTAGTCCCACTGGACCTGTTCCCAGCCCACCCACGGTCACTCCAGCTGCGGGCCAGGCCCACTATGGAGCCTGGACGCACCCATGCATGCATGCATCGCACACCTGCAGCAGGGACTTGACACTGGGCTGGAAGACCATGTTGGTGTTGAGCAGGAAAGAGCGGAGCAGGGGCTGGGGGTGACAGGCCAGCTGGGCCACCAGCCCCGTCAGCAGGAAGTTGACATAGACGGAGTTCTGCAGCATGTTCTCGAGTTTGGCAAAGAGCACAGCCATGAAGGGGCCTGGGTTGGGGGGGAGGTGGGCACAAGGATACAAGGCCTGAACACAATGCACGTCACACGCATTCCTCCCCAAAACAAGAGACCCCCAACAGATGAAAATTTTTTGTATGTCAGCCTCTGGGTATGTTTAAATATCCTGTGGCCACCTATTCTGGAGGAAATAAGATGGCAGACACCATATGGACCCACAATATTCCAGATGCCAGCTTTACACACATTCAAGCTGACGAGCCAGATCTTAGGCTCTGAAGTCTGAGAGATCTGGTTTCATTGGCTTTGCCCTTTACTAGTTTGGACAGGTCAAAACTTTCCAAGCCTTATTTCCTAGTTCGTAAAATAGGAAAATATACCTACCTCATAAGGTGATGAATAGCTATCAATATAAAGCATTTAGCCTCAGATATGGCAAATTTTAAGTGTTCAATTATAATCATAGATACAATTACATACTCTGCTTTTATAAAAGACTCACCCAAGAGGCACAACAGAAGAACAAATAGGTTGATAAAGTAACTAGGTCCAAAAAGAATTAGGTTCCACAAAAAACGGAGGATAACACTAAACCTGCTCAGAAAGAAAGCTAGAAGACGGTGTTGCAAAGACAAAGTAACTATGTGAGCCAATTTAAAGTTAGGGAAAAAAATCTTTGGAGGACCAGAGGAGACATCAGCTTTGTCTTTCAGAAGCTGGGAACCAAGAAGGTGGAACAGAATATGTAGTAAAAGGATAGCTTAGTGCAGGGGTAGAGAAACTGACTGAGGACAGACCCTTTGGTGGGAGAGAAGGGAAGGGAAAGGATCAGTATTATCCACTGGGAAAACTGACCTTAGCTAAGCCAGATCACCAGCAGTAGGCCTCTATAGCCATCAAGTCCTTCTGATCAGTGATTTTTTTGGCGAAAGGGAGTATATCTAAGAACTGTACTATGAATTGAGACAGAAGAATGATGGAGGGCAGGATGGAGTGAATCCTGAAAAAGATCCTAAAACATTTTTCACTCCAGGGACACATGTCTAACATTAGCTTCAAAACAACTCTAGCTTAACAGAGTCCTAAGATACCCCATAATGTTGTCCTATTCCTTTCATTTCCTGGAATTTTCTTGCCAAAAAAAAAAAAAAAAAAAAAAAAAATCGAAAAGCTCAGATA